CCCACAGATTTTAACCCAGAGGGTCTCCAGTTGTCCACCCTGGTCGCCATCATCAGCTTGCAGGAACGTATAGCTTTTCTTAACATAGAAAGCTACACCCCCGCCCCTTTTATCTACCCAATCCCTCCTGTACAGGGTATAGCCATCTATACCCATGGTCCAGTCATGGGTGGAGTCCCACCAGGTCTCCGTTATCCCTATGACATCATAATTATTTGCATTGAGCAGGAGGTCGAGCTCCTCCTGCTTATTCCCCAAGCTCCTGGCGTTTGTGTACAGGCAGGCAAGTGTCCCCTTGGGGGCTCTTGCCTTGCCCACAGATTGTACCAGAGCTGGGGCAGGAGTGGGCTCCCTTAAGTGCCTTGGCCTGCTGGCTTTGCAAGGGTTGCTCAGCGGGCCAGCAGTGGCGGTAGTCCCCCTGTTCCCCGGCAGACTTAGTTTAAAGCCCAGTGGAGCAGGTAAGCCAGTCTGGCTGAGAAGAGCCTCCTCCCCAGGGGAGAGAGGTAGAGGCCATCCCTTCCCAGCAGCTCGCTGCCCCTCTTGCCAAAGAGCGGGCTGTGGTCATGGAAGCCAAAGCCTTCCCTATGACACCATAAATGTGATAAATGCATCTTATATCATGAAAATTATAATACACGTGGATGAAAGATTTGTGTTACTTTGAGGATATTTGCAAATATAAGCAGATAATGTATTTGCATGTTTTGTATAAAGCTGAATTTGTAGCCAGTGTTAATAAGTGAATGTAGTAATGCTATAAGGAAGTGAATGTAGAGCTAGTGAAAAAGATGGACTTATTAACTAAGGAGAATAAAGTGATTTATCCAAAGAACAGGTACAGCAATTGGCTGTCAGGGAATCTCCCCATATACTGTCTTGCCAGAACAAGTAAGTAGCTTGCTTTACTATCTGATCCTTGGCCTGTCTGAGACCTCCAGCAAAGATACCGTGTGTATCAGTAGTCTTAGGGTGGGTCCCACTTTCTAGGAACTGTATGGAATTCACTGACTCCTTTCACACCTTAAGCCACTGAAAATGGTTAGATGGTTGCAAATTGCAACTGTTCTTGACCTGTACTGGATTTTAGCAAGTGTGCTGGAGTGGAAAGGTATTTGACTGCAATTCCTTGAGCTCCTCCTAAAAATAAGTTGACACATCTTTAGAAAGCATAAAGGACCCAAGAGTCAGAACACTTGAATTCTAGTACCTAGCCCTTATACTTCCTTTCTGACCCAGGGTATCTGACTTTTTAAACTTGTCTCTTTTTTTTCAACTTGTCTCTTTTTTTTCTTCCCCTGAACATGTGTACAGTGACTGTGGTTGTGTGTGCAGAACGACAAACTATGTACATTTGAGGAATCTAATCCCTTAAGCAATGGTATGCAATCTTTTTGCCTGGCATGCCACAAGTTAAGCCCCAACCCTCCCAGAGTGCCACTCTGATTCCCCCCCCCCCGCCTGAGAGTTTGTCCCCTGAGGTGCTGGAATGTGGGCAGGGAGAGGGAGGAGGGACAGGATTTAGCCTCTGGCTACACAGTGCAAAATGGGGATAGGACATGGCTGCAAACAAAGTGTTACTGCCAAGAGCCAGGCCAGGCCTTCCCTTGCCCTGCAACTTCTGCCACTTCATATGGTGTGCAAGGATCCAAAGCCCTCAATTTGGCAATAGCTGCAGAGCCAGTGAAGGGTTAGCCTCGTTCTTGGCCTTGGCACCATTGTCTAGTGGACCTTACTCTGCTCCAGGGCTAGAGGCTGGAGCCTTCCTGACTCGATTCTAGTGCCTCCCTTTACTGAGCACCTGGGGCCACATATCTGGGTTACCCCTACTGTAAGGGATCATTGTTTTATCTTGTGGAAAATGGGTGTAGAATTGCAATGTTTGCAAAACCTTAAGTTTCTGATAGAAGGCATCATAGCAGTGTAAAGTTGTTTTCTAGGGGTGGATTTTATCTTACCGATGATTTATGGCTTGGCAATGATTTCAAGCACATATGTCAGATGAATTACTTTTTTCCTTGTCCTGGCTGTGACTTTACATGTTGTTTTTGTAAACAAGCAATTTATTCCATCCTCGTGTACTTTAATTGATGTTTTAGTGGGAAAACAGAATACCAGACAACAAAAACCAACAAAGCCAGAAGATCATCATCCTTTGAAAGGAGGCCCAGCAAGAGATATTCAAGGAGAACACTACAAATGAAAGGTAAACGGTAACCATCCATTGTGGGCACAGAGAGGTTCAAATATTGCATCCTGGTCTGAGCTCTGGGAGGTGATTTTTTTTTTTCTTCTCCTTATCCTAACTGATGATTTCCAGTCACTGCTCTGGACAGAATGCACTCTGTGTTTATCAAAGGGGCTGTGGAGCTTCCAGCTTGCCTGGCAGCTAAACCACTTGTAAATAGTTTGTGTAGGAATGTAAAATACAAGACGTCAGTTCAGTTAGCAGAACACTAGTAACTAAAGGTTGATCCCACCTTGAATCATTCATTGATGCTCTATATTTTTTGAATCATTCCAAAACCCCCCATCCTTGAGAGACCCTGCACTCCTGTCTCCCTCCGTGCATCTTGACACTTGCTTCATCTGGTGTTGTATGTGCTGCTAGTTATTCTTCCTGAGATTCTCATGTTGTCATCTCCCAGTCTTGTACGTGCCTGGGATGACCTCCAGATCCCTTCTGAAATCCCACCATTTGAGCTGTTTCTTCCGCAGTTCAGCTCCTGCTTTTTTCTCTTAATGCTATTCTCCAATTTAAGAATGTATTATCTGTGGTTCGTATGTACATACTTGTTTTGCAGTTTCTTCTTTGCTGTTATGCTAGCCATTTTGTCTAATTTAGGTATCAAGGTCTGTTATAGTAGGTCATGTTATCTTAATTTATTCATGCTGTGTGCACGTATGGTAGTATCAGTTCATATTTTAACTGATACTGCATGCAAATGGAGTTTGTAATCGGTCCTTTCCAATTTTTTTGCAGCAAATGTTACTAAACTTGAAGAAACAAGGTAAGAATAGATGCATTTTGATGTTTCAGTTTCTTTTCTGTATCTGTTGTATATAATTAAGCTTGTGTTAGTTCAGGTGTTAAGAACCACTGTTCATTTAAAGGTTGCTTATTCAGTTCTTGTAGATCCTTGCTAATTTTCAGTATAAAATTGCTGGTTTGAAGTGTCCCTATTGTATTGAAGGATGTTGCCAAACATGCTTCCTGGCAGGCAAAGATATTTGTGAATTCTGGAGTAACGGATTTATGACTGAACTCCAGTCCTTGCCGATTTTACCAACTGTTGTCGAGAAGGGCTGTAGATGTTAGTGCTGCCTTGCAAAAGTCAGCCCAGCCAAACAAGAATATGGTGATCTCTTCTTGCTGATGTCTCTGCTATGTGATTTTTTTTTTTTTTTAGAGCAGGTGTAACTCAGGAATTGGTAGGAATATTATAGAACAAGATGCATCCACTTTCCCCTTTCATTCTAACTTGACCTGCAGTAATGAATAGGGGGGTTGCCCAGTGTTTTGAAGTCAGGCTTTCTTTTATGTTCTGCACTTGTAGAACATGGAACACAGAGGTTGGTGCCCAGCTTACCTGGTCCCATGGGCCTGGAGGAGTGGCACGTGGGGCAGGTCTCCAGGCCAAATCTTGGTCACCCCTGATCGAGCACAGTAAGGTCCTTGACTGTGCTCCTAAGCACTGTTGCAGTATACATGAGCTCTACGTTCTAAGGATCCATTCTTCTTCTGCTCAAACCATTTAATGTTTTCTCTTTACTTCTCTGTCCCAATGGCACTTTCCCATAAAGTTTCATGTCCAAAGGGAAAATCTCTCTGGTTGGGCTGTGGATCTTTTTGCTTGTAGGGCCAGGCTTCACATGCAGCTGGGGCAGTCCACCCCAAGGCCACACACATGGACTCAACTGGTAGGTGAATTTTCCCCTTTATACTTCTTCCATTCACCTCCCCAAGACTTGACCCAGGGACCTTTTGACCGAGTGGCCTCCATGTTGCTTCCCTAATGAACCAGATTGTCATTAGGGAACCCTGTGGGGCTTTTCTTCTCCCCAAGCTCGCAGTCTCCACCATGCATATAATTTTACTGTATCAAGGGACTAAATTTTTTGCAAGATTGATGTGCAGCACTGGTGTAGTGCACTCCTCTCTTCCTTTTCACAAAGCTCATTCTTCATCCCTATTGGCACTGTCCGCTGCTGTGTACTTATTGTCCACCCCAGGGATGTTGAACTCATTTGGCCCACAGGGTGCAGTACTGGGATATGGCTGGGTGAATGGTGCTTGGGCTGGATGGGGCCCATGGACCCATGTCCCACATGCTATATCCAGTGCCTATGCTACCTGCTCTGGCTGGTCCAGGACTGCGCTGCACACAGTGCTTGCTCTGGCCATTCTGGAGCAGCCACATATGGTGTCTGCTCCAGCTGGTCCAAGGCAGGCACTGCATGGGTCTCTGCAGTGTGGGCTCCAGACCAGCTGGAGCAGGCACCATGTGAACCACAGTCCCAGACCAGCTGGAGGGGGTGCTGCATTTGCCCTGTAGGGAGCTTCCCAGGCTAACCCCAGGTAGGTGCTACATGCAATATGGGTCCCAGAGTATGTGCCGTGTGCAGCAGGCCCTGCATGCACCATGTGTGAGTTAGTTCAGGGCCCAGGGCTAGCACTGAGGGCTGGAAGATGTGGCTCTGCAGGCCACATCTCGCACCTGGCCTGGATCCTTGACATCCCTGGTCTAGCCAAACCAGGACATAGCTGGAGAATTGCAGTGTGCTGCTGTGGCTGCAGAAGGTTCCCCAGCATGTTGTGGAATGATGATTTGTGCAATGTTATATCCATGCTTATGCTTTTGTTCTGTTGTTCAAGACTTTGAGAGAGCAATATCTTGCCAGGTATAAATGCAAATCAGCATGCTGGTGTACCTGCAGTCATTAAGCTCCACAGCTCTCGGTATGTGGTGCTAGATATCTCTTGAGCAAGACAGACAAGTTGTTCTTCTCCCACAGTGCCTCCCACAATATTCCCTAAGGGCCTCATCTCCAGTGCCAAATTGAATTCCTTTTAAGGCTGCCTAGATTATACTGAGTCAGTGGATCTTCCTCTAATAATCCAAAGCTTCCCCCTAAAAAAGCAAGTTGAAACAAGTCAGAGTGCCTGTAGGGGCATTTTTATTTTAAAATTCCTGTTTGTGGATATTCTCCCCTGCATGTTAGATGTGTGCCTACTTAGTAACTCCATGTAAATCCAGCTCACTTGGTTAAAAGCTAATGGTGACAACTGAGTGGATAAAACCAAGGAGAAATGAAGCTGAGTGTTGCCACTCTAATGACCTGTTAGAGCTGTCCACAAGCTACTGCAGATTGAAAATACCCACATCAAAGCAATATGTGATGCATGAAAACAGTAAAAATCTGACTGGGTTTCACTGTGGCCTTGTGGTCAGCTTTTCACTACTGGTTTGGTATTGCAGATGCAAGGGGATATTTAATGTGGCAACCTCAGTGGGGTGGAGGCAGATGGAATTTGAAAGAAGTAAAAACGTAAAAGCATGTTTTACAGGGCACATAATGCCCAAAGAGACACAGTATGTGAACTACACACAAGTGGGGCAGGAAGGCAAGTGGAAATGGGTGCCCTAAGGAGTTTGATGGTGGAGGGAATCTCTCCTCCTCCTACAGTAGGGCTGTCCAACCAGCAGCCTATGAACCACATGTGGCGCAGGGAATTAAACCATGGCTCATGGGGTTTGTCGATGTAGTTGCCACAGCCTCTATGCTGGCATGGCTCTAGAAACCAGGCAGTAAACGCTGCCACTGCTCACCCCTACACCCCATTGCCTACCACCCAATTCAGGGTCTGTTATCACTGCTAGTGATGCAGATCAGTAGCAGGGGAAGACGGGGAGCAACAGCATTGTTTACCTTTTGGTTTCAGAGCAGTGTCAATAAGCTGCCACCCTGCTGCCAGAGGTGGCTCATTTGGGCTACAGGAAGCCCCCTGGTCCAGATATGGCTTGTGGGGCCAAGTAAGTTGAACAGCCCTGCTCTGAGGTAACAGTCAGAGCATGTGAAGTCCAGACTGGAGGAGGGGATCAGGTGGATATGAATGCCAAGCCATGGAGAGATGGTACAGCATATCCAGACTTTGAACTGAAAAGGGCAGGAACCTGCTAGACAAGAGAACAAGGTTGCTTTTGTTCCATCCTGGAATGGATGCTATAGTTTGGTATAGGAGCAGGGGCTGAGCGTCCAGGTTCTGGTCCTCCTCTTTTTACTCTACTTCCTTACTTTTACCCTTGCTTGTGAAGTGAAGATAATACTGATCTATCTCCCAACAATGTTGGGTGTTACAATACTGAATTAAATATCTATAAAGTGCTTTGGGAACTTGTGAGTAGGGGTTGTATGCAGCTTGGTTATCAGTGCTAATAACTGCTGTTCACACTTTGTAATTAGATCTTCCCAACAAAGGCTCAAGGTGCTTATAGTAAGAGAACAGATGACACATAAACCAGAAGAATGACAAGAGAAGGGAACAACTTACAAAAGAACTTGAATATGGACATAAAACAGCTTTGTCCTCTTTCCCTACTATACTTTCACATTTTCAAGCCATCTTGGGGGCTAGAAGGGAGAGTTGGATGCAGCTGTCCCTTCCTAACCCTCACCTTGGTGTGGTGTCCTGGCATATTCATCCCCAAAGCAGTAGATGCCCTTTCTGGAACTGTACACTCAAGTGTCACTAATTAAAATGAGTCACAAAAGATTCATGTTGTTCTGTTCCTTTGTTTTAACTTGGCGTTGAGGAATCCAGTGCTTGTACAAGCATTCCTCCCCCTTTTTTTTTTAAAATGCAATACTCTGCTGTTAGTGCCCTGAGCCTCCTCCCCTTGCAGAGATCTTGATAAGAAAGGAAACAGCTTGGATGATCTTTGTGACATTCATATATGACTACTGAAGTAAAAATGCTCCAAGTGTTTTTAAAATGCCTGTTGGAGTCAGTTTATTTAACTAGCACATTGGCATGTTGATTGGCGATTGTTCCAGGCCAAATGCAACCAGGACATTAATAAAATGTAGTCAAAGCTGTTTTTTGAACTAGGGATTGGAAAAAAAAAAAGCTTGTTCACACCTTGTTCGCATGTGTTTTTGTTGTTTTTTCTTGTCCAACTCTACCCTGTGGGAATTGCTTGTCTGAGACTAAATCCCAGTCCCCGTTGGCTTCCCTTCTGTACCTTAGTTGCATCCATCTCCAACCTAAATAGATGGCAGTTGAAGTGCTGGTTCAATATTGCTGATGTTCAGGGTATTTGCTGCTTTTCTAAAGCCCAGATTTCTTTCTACAGCTGCCTGTCTGCATTAGACTGTTTTTAATTAAACTAGCTCTTGTGGAGAAAATCATGAAAAAGTTAAATGAGTGCAGATTAGAAACCTTCAAGGCAAATAAAAGAACTCAAAGTGCACATGCTTGCACACACACATCTATGCGTAATTATAAAAAATTATGATTTTTCAGGGGAGGAGGGAGCTAACTTTGATTTTTTGCAGGCCTTGGTTGTGGCATGACTCTAGACTCATTGCTGTTCATTCTGCTGGAACCTGTACAGAAAATAGGTATATGAAATGTTGCTGTAGAGCTGTGCTGGTCATTCTTCTGGCCCTGGAGACTGAATAAATGGCATTGGGGCTGTTCTGCAGATCCTGTGGGTGGGACTGGTCCAAGGACAAGATCCAGCGTGGGGTCGGAGCACAGGGTTAGTTTGCAGGCCTCATGCTTGGAAGAGCTCTCAGAGCCACAGCAAATAATGCTGCCCCTGCTCATCTGCCACCAAATTTCTGTGCCCATGGGGAGTCCCTTGTGCTGAATAAAATGACCCTGTGTACTGGATTCAGACCCTTTGCTGGAGGTTGAACATCACTGCTTTACAACAATTGGACAAAATTGGCAGTACACAGTTCCTTTTGCCTGGGCCTTACATCAAAGGTATGTCTAGTTAAATTAGGAAATCAGGCCAGAGGAACAGGAAAAAGTGTGAACTCTCAGTCTGAACAAATCAAGTGTGATAACACGGGTTCATTAGCGGCAGGTCCTGTCAGACCAACCTGGTGGCCTTCTACAACCAGGTCACCAAATCCTTAGACGCAGGGGTAGCAGTGGACATAGTCTTCCTGGACTTTCGGAAGGCCTTCGACACTGTCTCTCACCCCGTTCTCATTAAG